AAATAATATTAAATATTATTTTAGCTATCAGAGAGGCCCGAGAAATTTTTCATACCGTGCCCGATGGTGCGTTCGGGTGGTTCGCGCGCTCTTTCGTCGGAATACGAATTTTTAAAGAAGAAAACAACAGCAGCAGAAGCAAAAGCACCGTCTTGCCTGTGATAGATGTTTAAACACAATATTATAATATTTTTATATTATTATCATCGTCCTACGCTAACATGCTACATTACTCGTTTCCTCCTCGAAATGGTAATTACACTTCACTTCAGTCACTTTTTATAGATTTGCTTGTTTGACCATTCTTACATTGAGCTATATGCCTAGGCTATACATACAGCAGTTCTGCTGTCCTTTCATTTCATTCATTGAGAAGAGTCAATTAAAAATATTTTCAGGTCTGGTTTCCACCTTGTCCTTGGTTTTGATGACTTACTGGCTGTGCGTGGTAAGTAGTGAGTTGAAAGCGCTGCTTATTTGTTATGCACTGTGGTGCTTTCTTACTTTGATTGTATGCTTAAAAACCTCTTGTTCTGTTTGATTTCTGCAGAAACCTATGGCAGTGCCTCCTATGGCCCTTAATCATCAGGTGCTAGTCCACGTCAGTCTCCTGGACAACATATTGAAGCTTTTTAAAGGTCAATAAAATGCTTATTTGACAAAAGTAAATACACCTCATTTTTGAAATGTCCTTCGTTCTTCACAACAAGTGACAGGCATTCCGATTTTCAAAAGAATCGAAAAAGTACGTCAAGTAAAACTGCATGCATGTCAACTTGGTTTAGATAGGATCACATCGCACTTGAGAATAATCTTCATTGGTTGTTTAGCCGTCACCAACATAAGAAAAAAATAGAGGTGAGTAATTGGTGGTGCACACCAATTGTCTATTGCTACAAGCAGATAGCCACTAATATTTCTAGCATGTAAATCTCTGCACTTGAGAGGCAGACACCAATCACTCACAATTTTGGTTGCTTTCACACATGAATTGAAGACAAAACACTAGAACATAGTCAATTTGGCCCTTAAGCTATCTTTCTTATTGCATTTCACACACACTCAATAGCCATACAAAGCTTAATTTTTTGAGAAACCAAATGAGAAAATAATTTGAGCCTTTTTTTAGCACCAACTCTTCCTCTTACAGTCTTTGTGAAATTATCCCACTATATAATGTACGGCTGCCATTAAAAAGATGTATCAGAAACTTGCTGTTCTCCATAGTCATACTTCATGTGCTTATTGAATAAGACAGCACGGTTGTGTTGGGGTGGAGCATACCAGTATGATCGGCAAATGGGCTTCTTGAAACAAGCAAGAGCATTGTCAATTGTTATGAGAGGTAGAGGAACCAACCAAAGAAAAGAATCAATTGAAAGGGTTAGTCAGTTTAATTTTTCAAAACCTTAGAAATAGAAAGGGCTTCCATAACTAATGAATAAAACGTTTAACAGTAACAGTTACAGAGCAAAGGTACATTGTATCAAAGCAAGTGATGTATGAAAAAAATTCAGTAAAATACACAGTTGAAGTGGAAGAGGAGCTGAAGTTCAAGCCATAGCATTTTGAAGGCACTAAACATGGAACCATACTGCCTTGATGCAATCATTTTAACAAACCTATTTTATCAACTAAAAGCCCTGGTGTAAAATGTTACAAGTAACTTTCCTGTTACAAAGACAAAGTGTAATTAACTGAAATAATTGAAAGCATAATCTACATGTGGAAGGCTTTTATTAATTCAAACTAAATATACAAAGTTTTTGCAGTGCTTCATAATTAAAACAAGGGTCAGTCAATTCAATAAATCATTTTAAGTTGCAAAAACTTAGGAAAACATTTCAAAGAAACAATGAGAGATTACATAGAGTATTTACAGTCAAGCGTAGTGGAGGGTAATCACTAACTAGTCAAGCCTAGGCAAAATATGTACATGAGCACATAACAAGTGCTATAGAAAATATTTACAAAACAGGTGACACAAAACACTGAAGAAACAATTTCTAACCAAAAAATGGTATACTGTCCTGAAAATTCCCGCCACAGTAAGGACAAGTCTTCAAGGTTCTGTATTTCTGGCTAGATGTAGCGATCCACCTGTCAAGGCACTTCTTATGAAAGAGATGGCCACAGTCAGTTATACAATATGCTCCTCCCTCTTGACCTTCTCTGCATATATGGCAGGATAGTCCTCCAGTCTCTGGAATTAAAATAAAATTATAACAGGAAACAAAAACAAGAACATCTAGTAAAGAATCCCGAAGAACAAACCTGAAGCACAAGATTCAGGAGCTACCTTAGTACATTTATTCTTCGACCCCTTTGGCCGTCCCGGCCTCCTTTTGTTGACAGGAGGCTTGTTCTCCTTCCCAAAACCTGCCAATAAAAATAAAGGTTTAGGTTAAAGTGCCAAAATCAAATAGTGATCAAAGAATAAAACTAAGAAATTGTACCAGCACTTGAAGTAGATGGTAGTTCCTTCCAGTTTTGAGGCACAAGTGGTTTGGACTTGAACCGCTTACTTTTGGACTGCCTAAGCTCAGCTGCTTCATCTGAAGAGTTCAAGGTCTTGGTCATCTTTTCATCTTCTGTAAAAAAGAGAACACAAATTATTATTTAAATCAAGAGAAAAGACAAAGGCGAAAATTCATCAATTACCTTACCTGAGTCAGATGAGTCTACGGGTACTTTGTTTTTAGAGCCCTTAGGGCGTCCAGGTTTCCTCCTTGTTGAAGCAGGAGTGTTGTCATCATCCCCGAAACCTGTGAATGACGGATAAGAGGTTAAACTGCTGTCAATACAAGTAACCTAAAGGAAAAAATTAAGAATTTGTTTGCATATTACCTGCACGTGAGGTTGAGGGGAGAGAAGTTCTCCAGTCACATGCGGACTTCTTAGAGTTGAAGTGCCTGAGGGCAGGCTCATTTGGC